CTTTTTGATTGTTTGCATATTTTTTGTTTTTTTGGTACAGGAGCGCTCTATCACAGAGCTACATCCCTAGTCCTTTTTATTTTTTGAGACAGGGTCTCACTAAGTTGCTTACAGCCTCACTGAGTTGCTGAGGCTGGCCTGGAACTTGTGATCCTCCTGCCTTGATCTCCCAAGTTACTGGGATTACAGGCATGTTTCACAGTGCCTGGCTAATTTACTTTTTTTTTTTTTTTTTAACATTTTTTAGTTATAGGTTGACACAAAACCTTTTGTTTTATGTTTTGTATGTGGTATTAAGGATTGAACCCAGTGCCTCACACTTGCTTGGCAAGTGCTGTACCTCTGAGCCACAACCCCAGCCCCTAATTTACTTTTTGTAAATAAATATTGGTCTTAAGATTAATCCCTTATGGACTGGGTTTGTGGTTCAGTGGTATAGCACTTGCCTAGCATATATGAGGCAAGGATTCAATTCTCAGCACCACATATAAATAAATGAATAAAATAAAGGTCCATCAACAACTAATACGCACACACACATATATATAAATTTTTAAAAGAAGATTAATCCCTTAATAGTTGCTGTGCATTCTGATAGATGTTGGATAGAGGATGAAATATATATAAAAAATMATTTTTCATTTTGCTTTACTTAATATATTAAAACTTTTTTTTCTTTTTTCTTTTAGGAAGCTATCATACAAATAATGAAAATGAGAAAGAAAATTAGTAATGCCCAACTTCAGACTGAATTAGTAGAAATTTTGAAAAACATGTTCTTGCCACAAAAGAAAATGATAAAAGAGCAAATAGAATGGCTTATAGAGCACAAATACATCAGAAGAGATGAATCCGATATCAACACTTTCATATATATGGCATAATTTTGAATATCATGGACATTATTAAGAACCAAGATTTTGGAGTGCTTGGGCAGAAAGTTACAAGTTTGAGCTGGAGAAAGGTTTATTTGGACTTTGATTACATAAATATGAAAATCTCTGCCTTACCTTACAAAGTGACTCTATTTTGCCACTCACATTAGTTAGCATGATGGCATTCCCTTCATGTTGCGCACTCTGTAACAGCATGCTGTTTTGTGGAGAAACTTGCATTCATGAAGAGCCCATTATGAACTTTTAAAAGTAAATTTGATTTTTACCCACCAGAAGAAATACAGTTGGGAAGGGAGAGGGCGGGGTTCTTGTTGCTTTTTTCCTCTCTTAAAAAAATGTACTTGCACAAGGAAGGATATTCAGATATTCATGCACTGAAAAATGCTGTTATCTTTTGTTTTTTAAAAAATGCAATTAAAACTAGAAGTAGCACTCTTGGCCTCTTTTGATGAGAGTGAGCTGGTCAATACAACATTGGGAGAGGGCAGATGTAGGTGAGAAGATAAGTATTTCATAGTATCCAATTATTAGTTCAAACACTGCTTCGGTATGATAACTGGATTTTAATGGTGACCTAAAAAATGATATTAAATATTTCCAACTTACAAATGTTGGTGTTCTTTAAGCAGAAGACTGCTGTTTTAGTTGTTTGTTAAATGATAAGGAATTTTGGAAAATCTTACATGGCTGGAGAGTTTGTTTTGAAAAAAAATGAAGCTTATATTAATTGTTGCTTCAGTTGTACAAAAGAAATTTATGGAGAGAGGTAGGTCATTATGACTACAGGGTCAGTACAGCAAAACAAACATTAAGTGTGTCTGTCACTAACACACTTAATATTTATATACCTAGTATTTATTATGCCATATCTAAATTTATTGAACACAATGCAGAAATCTCCTGCTGTGATATAATACAGTTATGGAACGGATCTCTCAATCTGTAGCATAGAACTATTTTGGTATCTTAAAGTCTCATGATTAGGGATTTTTACAGCCTCAGGTTTCTGGAAAGAAAGACTTTTAAAAAGTAATATCAGTCATCTAGGAGAAGAAAAAAAAAACATAAGACCTGAAAAGCATAAGCAAAGTTATTCCAGTCTTAATATGAGCAGTATACTTGCCAAATATGTACATATATATTTATATATTTTAAAAATAAACATTTTTAAAATGTTCAGAAGGCAACACTTACCTTTTTACTTTCAGTCAATCCAAAGCAGCAACTTATTAGTTGCTGGCAACTGAATACCCAGAGCAGTGCAAATTTTATGACTTGAGGACTTGAACAACTGAGAAGAACAAAACTATTTCCATTGGGGAAAAAATGGCTCAACATGGATTTTTATTCATTGTGGTGCACGTTTCGAATTTTCTTACAAATTATTTTATATCTTTTTGATGTTCAGTAATATTTAAAAGTATGGTTTTGAAAATGGTAGGAAATGGAGTGCTGAAAGGCATCCAGTATTATATTATAGCAGAGTGCTTTTAAGAGCATTTCATGGAATCTTCCCTATCCCAAGAAGCTTTATGAGCTCCCCAATGAAAAGAAGGAAAGTCAATTTAAAACATTTATGGGTTTGCTGATTATAATCAAATGCCTGTTCTGAAACTCATAGGAAATTTGAATTTTGTTTAGAATTTAAAATATACTTCAGCTCTAAGATAGCATATGTCAATCATTAGAYCAAGATATTGTGAAGAATTAAATTTAAAATTAGTGTTCATTGTTTTCTCTAATTAGATGACTAACAGTGGATGAATTTGAAATTTAGGAGAAATAATTTTTTAATAACTGTGACCCTTAGGCTTAACAAATATTTTGGTATTGCAGATTTGCTTGTCCCAATAGAAGAATAACAAAGAAGAAACTATGGGAGAAAAATTTTAGGCCATTTTTTTTTTTATATTTAAATTTTGTTGTTTTAAACCATAATTGTTCTCAGAATTTCTTTGGAATTTCTAACATTTTTGGTCATTTAATTTAAGAATGAGAGCCATAATGCTTTGATTTCTAAAGGCAAATTTAATGCAAAGTGGGTAAGATTAAATTCATAGCAAAGTTTTCTATTAAATTTTTTTAATAGATTTTTTAAAGCTAATTATGTCCTGATTGTATTTTAGGGATTAAACAGCAACAAATACTGTACACTTACGTTTTCATCTTTTTTTTTTTTTTTTGGTTACATATACACAAAAATTTAACTACTTTTTGGTGTTTATGAAAACCATTTAGTTGACATGGTGCCTATACCATTGTTGAGTTTTCTTTAAATATGTTTTGACAATAGATTTGCTAATTTTAAAAAATACAATCTGAAGAGAAAATTTTATCAGCAATTTGTTAAAGTATACTAATTGTAATTGTGTACCTTTATCAGGTTCTTTTCTCCAATGAACACTTAGTGCTATCTGAGCAGAAATGAAACCTAACATAGTTAAGGAAAAAGAAAACCCGTCCCCAACTTCACCACCAAAATATAATTTTTAAGTTTTTTTTATGAGTAGCAGGGCAAGAGGGCACCTCAGGTTAAATTTTGACCACTCATCTTCTGATTTTAAAGATAGAGCCGTCTGAAAATGTTAATCTTCGTTGCCACCTCATTGCCAGAGTAAGATATGAAACAATTTACAAAGTAAAAATATACGACAATTTTGTTGCTTACAATGATATAATAAATATTAGAACATAACTGTTCCAATGATTTGATGAGGATCTTGAAATAAATTCTGAAGTCTTCCAATTTTTACATTTATTGGAGGGGTCCCCAAGTTCTTTCAACCTGTTTATTTAAGTCCCTTGATCTTATTTTGTGCATAAATGTTAAAATTTCCTAAAATGAAATGTTAGCTCTCTTCTTACTTTTTATTAAATTTAATACAAAACATGACCTTAGTTGTTAAGAAAGGATTTTGCATTATTTGCAGTACGATGTCATTAGTCCTGCTCAAAGGGCAAATTTTTAAAATTCAGTTTGGGTAAAAGATTTSCTAGTTTTAAAGAAAGATTTGCTATCATAAACTTAAGCTGGTTTTTCKATTTTCATGTGAATGACTGGGATGCTCTTATAAATTCTTCCAAGGTCATGTTTGTGAGATAAAAAAAATTACATGAGAGCTTTCTTGTCATCTACACTAATGTCTTTTGGAGTGTTGAACAAATTTTRAGTTTCTAAGGTGTAATCTATCCTCATATGGTCTATACGATTTTGAATGTGTGCCACTACATACTGAGATGATAATGCTGTACAATTTTAAATGGTAGCAGTTTCTGTATGCAGTAGGCTGAAATATTTTGATGAACTGCTTAATTTTTGGATTTTATTTTTTAAGTTGTATAATTTATTTTCTTGCAAAATAAAAATGTAATATAAAAGCTTTCACTTATCCCCCAAATTTTGATTTTTCTACTATGAAATAGTTTCTAAGAGTTTAATTAAAATTTTTAGATGGGTGTAGTGGTGCCATTGTACTCCTAGCTACTTGGGAGGCTGAAGCAGGAGAATCACATGAATTCAGGAGTTTCAGGCCAACATGTGCAACATAATAAGACCTTGTCTCAAAGAAAAAAATATATAGCAGGTATATTTACATATTTGCACAAACTAACTAAATTTCAAATAAGTTTAAAATATATCTTTAAATTGAGAATTCATTTATTTCTACTGTAGTAGTTGTGAAATAAATATTTACAGGCAGTTRACTGGACAAACACAGTTGACTTCATAATGACCCTAAACTCAGCTTTGGACTTTCCGTGAGTGGGATCTAGGGGATTTGAAGGAGATGGGTTCACTTGGAAATGAAGCTAGAGAAAAGTTTGGTCTCAGTGTAATATTAACCTAAACAAAGAGACATTTATCATTAAGCTTAAACTTTCAGGAGACCCTTCTCACATGGGTGCTTCTCAACTCCCTGATTGGGGCTCAAGAAATTTTGTATAGATTGAGCATCCCTAATCTGAAATCCAAAATGCTCCAAAACATGAAACTTTTTGAGCATCAATGTGACAGTACAAGTAGAAAATTTCACACATGACTTCATATGACTAGTCAAAACCAAAATGCATACACACTAAACATACCATATAAGGGGTAGGGAATATAACTCACTGGTAGAGCACTTGCCCAGCATGTGTGAGATCCTGGGTTTTGGTCACCAGCAAAACAAAAAGAAAAAATAAAACTTCAGGCAACATGTATACAATTATATATGAAACAATTGAATCTAATGTTTAGACTTGGGTCCCATCCCCAAGATACCCTATTATGTATATGCAAATATTCCAAAATCTGGAACACTTCTGGTCTCAAGCTTTTTGGATAAGGGATATTCAACCTGTACTTGTAATTTTGTATTGTTTTTTTTTGTTGTTGTTGTTGTTGGGTTTTGGTTTGGGGTTTTTTGTTTTTGTATTTTCTTTCTTTTTTTTTTTTTTTGGTACTGGGATTGAACCCATGGGTTCTTTACCACTGAGCTCCATCCCCAGTTTTGTTTTTGTTTATTTTGAAAGAAGGTCTTGTTAAGTTGCTGAGGCTGGCCTCAAATATATAATGCTCCTGCCTCAGCATTGCAAGTTGCTGGTAAAACAGGCATGTGCCTCTGCACCTAGTATATTTTAAACTTTTGAGAGAGTCTCTCTAAATTACACATACTAGCTTCAAACATGTTCTTTTATTTCAGCTTCCTGAGTCACTGGGTCTGGCTGTACTGTTTTTCTTAAAGAGGGTCCCCAGCTGGGGACAGTGGCACACACCAGTAATCCCAATGGTTCAAGAGGCTGAGGCAGAAGAATTGCACGTTCAAAGCCAGCCTCAGCAACATTGAGGTGCTAAGCAACTCACTGAGACCCTGTCTCTAAATAGAATACAAAATAGGGCAAGGGATGTGGTTCAGTGGTTGAGTGTCTCAGAGTTCAATCCCCAGTAATCTCCATCAAAAAAAGAGGATCTCAAAATATCTTTTTGTTTTGGTACTGGGGATTGAACTCAAGAGCATTCAACCACTGAGCCACACCCCCAGCCCTATTTTGTATTTCATTTAGAGACTGGGTCTCACTGAGTTTCTGCTTCAGCCTCCCGAGCCACTGGGATTACAGGCATGCGCCACCATGCCAGGCTCTAAAATATCAAATTGGATCCAGCTCTAAGACTGAATGCAAAAAGAACCTCATAGCCGGATTGATTGAGAGCATGTGTACCTGAGAACAGATTGCAATATTTACATTAATTTTTTCAATAATACRGATTTAACCCAGGAACACTCTATAATGAGACACATCCCTGGCTGGCTGGCTGGTTTTATCTATGTATCTATCTATCTATCTATAGACAGGGCTTTGCTAAGTTCTCCAGGCCATCCTTGAACTTGCAATCTTCATGCCTCAGCCTCTCAAGTTGCTGGGGCTACAGATGTGCACCACTGCACCCAGCCTAGAGTTAAATATTTTAAGTTCTAAATGGGGAGACTTTATACTATGTAACCAAAACGGACTTTTTGTGTCACTGAACACCTGTTTTTATCAGTGAACAGTTTGGAACAGGGGTCTAAGACTGTTGGATTTCCAGGTTTTTCTGAACAACTGATTAAAGCATAAGACATACATATAAACATTTAAGTTCTCTATAAATTTGAAGAGCTCACACAACCAAGGTTAAAAATCTTCCATAGTAAGGAGGTCCAAGTCAGGTATAGTGCATGCCTGTAATCCCAGCAACTCAAGAGGTTCTCAAGTTCAAGGGCAGCCTCAGCAATTTAGCAAAACCTRCCTCAAAAAATGCAAAGGACTGGAGATGTAGCTCAGTGTTGTAGAGTGCCCCAGARTTCAATCCCCAGTACCAAACACACACACACGCACGCACACACACACAAAGAGATGATAGGTTCTAGGGTAAGTAAAGCAAGTAGCACCTTGCTCCATGAATTTACCGTGGCCTAATATCTGGAGTGCTAATTTAAACTTAAGATTTTTTTTCCACCTCTTACTAATCTAGAGAATGACAGAAGATTTCCATAGATGTTAAGTGATTTTGCTATTTTTATTTAATAATAACAAGCCAGTGCAATGRCGCATGCCTGTGATCCCAGCAGCTAGGGAGTCTAAAGCAAGAGGATCACAAGTTCAAGCCCGAAAAGGGCGACAGATGTAGCTCAGTAGTAAAATACCTCTGGGTTCAATTCCCAGTACCCTAAATAAAACAAACAATGTACATAAACTTTCTCTTACCATGATTACTGAAGCAGACAGATATTATTTAGATTTTTCTTCAACAGCTTCAATCAATTGATGGTTGAAAACCAGCAGTAGAAACCAGGAAGGCCAAAATCTGAAGAATGGACCAACTTTACACAGAGCTAGATTTGAAAGTTAACACTCTTTGTTGAAAGACTGACAAGGCAGTAACAGTGAGGCTTGGGAATTCCTTCACATTGTTCTTTTTCTGAGCTGCTAAATGTATAATTTAATTTTCTTTTCCATACTCTACCTTAACTCCTTCATTCCCAACAGATGGTCTTGCTTTGGAAAAATAAGGCCTTTGGTATGAAATTTCATAATTTGTTTTCCTTGCACCTCCAAATTTACCTCTATTAATGTACATCTTCACCTGCCTACCTGTCTCAGAGAAAGAGGTCCCTCATTTCTTTATTTGTGATACTGGGATTTGAACCCAGGGGCACTTTACAACTAAGCTACATCTCCAGATCTTTGCATTTTGTACTTTAAGATAGGATCTCTGGCTGGGTGTGGTGGTGCATGCCTGTAATTGGGAGCAATGGGGCAGGAGGATCCCAAGTTTAAGGYAGTCTGGGCTGTGAGGGACCAAACTATATGTGCCTTGAACAGACAAACTCCATTTTATCCCAAGACTTCATATAAGAAATGCTTCTCCCATGAGAAAACCCCGCCTCTGACACCTCCTGCTAAGCACACCCTGTTAGCCAATGCATGGCAGTTAAAAAATGTTTGTTATTCTTATATAATGTATTATTTAGAAATGCATTTGTAAGATGTTCTCCATTTAGTTCCCATTTTTCTTGGGCAGTGTACTGTATCCTGAACTGGGTTATTCTCACTTCCTATGTTGCTATCATTTTGACTTAATGGTAACTTGTGGGTTTTGGCCATAAAAACTACCTTCTGGAAGTGGTTGAAGGTTGCAGAGGTGACTTGCCTGCTGTCCTTCCAACTCACCTACAAATAAAATTTTATTTTCTGCTTCAAGACTGACTCGGTGATTCATTTCAAACATGCCACAACAGGGCAATTTAACAAGACCCTGTCTCAAATGTTTAATGGATTGAGTATGTAGCTCAGTAATAAGAGTTCACTGAGTTCAGTCTCCCGTAATGAGGAGGGGAAAATAAAGTACTAGTTCTTGCTAAATTGCCCAGGTTAGCTTTGAACTTGGAATCTTACTGCCTTTGACTTGAGTAGCTGASATTATAGCATGTGCTTTCATGCCCAGTAAGATACCTTACTTCTTTCTCAAGGTYAACAATTCGCCTTTTTTCTGAAGCCCATCCACTCTTGCCTCCTGTGTTTTGCTTCATAAATATCGACATCTCCCAAGACTTCCACATATCATTTTGGTTATTTCCTCCTTACCCTACAACTGTCATTCTCAGTTTCAGTCCACATAAAGCTTATTGTCACTTGGTAGTTTGTTGGAGGTGTAAGTTTTTGAGATCCACCCCAGACCTACTGAATCCAAAAAACTTCAAAAAAAATTTTTTTTTTAAATTTTTCATTGTTCAGAGATAATATTTAATTTTTTATTTGTTTTAATAAGTTAACATGACAGTAGAATACACTTATATACTTTGATGTATCATACATAGATGGGATATAATTTCTCATTTTTCTGAGTATACATATTGTAGAATCACATTGGTCATACAGTCACATACATACATACAGTAATAATGTCTGTTTCATTCTACTATTTTTCTTATCCCCACATCTCCTGCCTTCCCCTTCTTTCACTTCCCTCTACCTAATCTAAGGTAACATTTTTTTTTGCATTACAATTCTTAATACACATAAATACCACACTTTTTATATATCTTGTTTGTATATAAAGTATATTGACACCCAATTCAAGTTTTCATACATGTACTTTGTATAATGATKTCCATCACCTTCCACCATCACTTCAGGTGGTTTCTAGCAATCTGAATTTCAACAAGCCCTCCAGGTGATGTTGACAGACACTTAAAGTTTAAAAAGCTACTGAACTATAAACATTCTCATTCACCACTTTAAAAAATTTTTCATCTCCCCCAACCCTGGTCATGCTATGAGCCTAAATTTCAGCTAAACATCTTGGAAGAGTAGTCCACAGTCTCACTGTCTCTATTTCTTCAACTTGGTACTCGTTGACTTTGTCCCG